TATATACTGTACAATATAACATATTATATTAGCATTTAAAAATAATAAAATGAATAATAATATTAATAATGATGATGATGATAATAATAATGATAATAATAATAGTAATACATTGTTTATAAGTAAATCCTTGCAATATTAATAATAATAATAATATTATATCATGATAAATATAACATTTTATATTAGTATTTAATCATATTTGATGAGTCAGGCCCGGTGTGTAATGTCTCATCTCCTGTACAGGTCGGGGGACGGTGATGTGAATTTCTTTCCTTCACATCATTTTGCTGACCTTTGACCCCCCTCAGAGGGAGAAGATTTGTATGGGTTTGTTGTGCACTGTAATGACTTTGCTCCCTCCATGGCGGTGTCCTAGGCCGTCCTGTGGTATGTGTACATACTGTATCATGTTGTTGGGATAGGTGAAGCGAGGTTCGTGGGAACGGTGGCGGAGGCCGGGAAAGAAACCAGAGGCTCCATAAATCTGACGTGCGGGCCTCATTGTAGAGGAGGAGAAGTAATAAGGTGTCAGCTCGTCGTCCTCGTTACTTCCTTCTATCACATTGTATGTGGCAGTGCCGCTGAGCGGAGTGACGGCTCTCATTAATATCAGACTTTTATAGCTGTCGGGGAGGTTGTCTGTCCCGGGACAGGTAGTCGGCTGAGCCCAGGAAAAGGCCTTCCCGTGCCCATTTCAATCTTATAAAGTGAGCGGGAAGACAAAGGTTTCTACTTTAGCGTAAAAAATGACGGGTTCGGACCCCGTCTGCTGTGGGGTTTTTTTTGTCTGTGTCATTTCCCACCCTGGAGGCACAACAGGAAGTAAGAGAAAAATCCCCTGTAAGTTGTCACCAGAACATGTGTCCCCGTTGGAAGATTTCCCCTCATTCAGGGGCGTCCCGAGGCCTGGTGTCACCCGGAGCGGATACCCGGTGACACCCTGCCACGAAGTCATCACGCGTACGCGGCCATCTTGGCGCCATTTTAGTGATGGACGCCGGCAGAGAGAAAAGGGGGCTTTCACCCGGCGGGAGGTATGCCACCGGGTCCCCTCCTCTCTCGCGCAACTGTCGGGGTCTCGGTCTATGACCGAGTGCCCGACTTTTCCGAGGGGGTGACACCAAAATTACTGTCAGTCATTTTGGTGTCACCCCTCCAATGGTGTCACCCGGGTGCGGGCCACACCCCCCTTGTGACGCCACTGCCCTCACTTCCTGTATCTGTGACAACTCATACATTTTGGATTTCCCATCACTCTCTGTACTAGAGACAATGGTCACCAGAATAAATCCCCAATGACAGCAATAAAAACCTGACAACATTCCCCAATTCCATCCATAACTGAATCAAATCCACGCAAACGTTAAATCCGACCTTCAGTCTTCTATCTGACCTCAGACGTTCCCTTCAGTCTTATATCAGACCAAAATTATCCCAGGTTATCCTGCCATGAAAGTTGTTGTTCTGGAATTTCCTGTTATAGGGTGACAATGCCCTTTCCCTGTTTCCTAATTCTGCTTCTTTGTTGTCACCCTGTCACAAGGGCCTTTTTTGATATACATTGATGGACCACTGTTGTCACCAGCAAGAAATCTGCCCTGAGAAATGCCACGCAGCCATCGCTGGAGGACATGTAGATGGGAAGAAGCTGCTGGAGATCCTCAGCACTGAGATGTAACAAAGGTAAATGTTTTTTGATACATAGTTCCTGTAGAAATCTAAGGCCGGCTCTCGGGGTCACATTGTATATAAAGTCCCCAGATACACAGATGTGCCCTGACCTTTCTCCGATCCCCCCCCCTCCCCCCCGCCATGTCTCTATTGGATTCAGTTTATGTCCGTCCAGCACCTGAAACATGTTTAAAGGGTTTTCCAACCTGAACTAAAGCACGTTAATCCCCTTTATAGAGTACCAGCAGGGGGGCCCATTCTCCGGCCTCCACCCTAATCCCTTTCATAGGCTCACCAGGACGCCTCCTTTTAACCTCTTTTAGCCTCTTTTAACCCAAAAAGGCCGACAGGACAATAGGATGTCCCCTCCGTACAATGGAGGAGAAGACAATGTGCAGCGCGGAGACTTCTCCACCAACGCCGGATACTGCTGTGTGTAGAACTTCAGTCTGGATTATCTATATTGACGGATCGCACATCATCCTCGCTCAGCCCATATATTATCTATCTATCTATCTATCTATCTATCTATCTATCTATCTATCTATCTATCTATCTATTATTGTCTGCCCCCTGCACTGACCTGTGCTATGTTCTCAGATACCTCTACTGTCTGCCCCCTGCACTGACCTGTGCTATGTTCTCAGATACCTCTACTGTCTGCCCCGCTGCACTGACCTGTGCTATGTTCTCACATACCTCTCCTGTCTGCCACCTGCCCTGACCTGTGTTCTCAGATACCTCTACTGCCTGCCACCTGCCCTGACCTTTACTATGTTTTTGGATTCCTCTACTGTCTACCCCCTGCACTGACCTGTGCTATGTTCTCAGATACCACTACTATCTGCCCCCTGCACTCACCTGTGCTATGTTCTCAGATACCACTACTATCTGCCCCCTGCACTCACCTGTGCTATGTTCTCAGATACCACTACTATCTGCCCCCTGTACTGACCTGTCCTGTGTTGTCAGATACCTCTTCTGTCTGCCCCCTGCACTGACCTGTGCTATGTTCTCAGATACCTCTACTGCCTGCCCCTGCACTGACCTGTGCTATGTTCTCAGATACCTCTACTGTCTGCCCCCCTGCACTGACCTGTGATATGTTCTCAGATACCTCTTCTGTCTGCCCCCTGCACTGACCTGTGCTATGTTATCTGCCCTCTACACTGACCTGTACTATGTCATCTGCCCTCTACACTGACCTGTGCTATCTTCTCAAATACCTCTATTGTCTGCTATTTGCCCTTTGATACCCCCAATGTGTGCTCCCTAGCCTGACCTGTGCTATGTTTATGGCTACCTCTACTGCATGCTGTATGTCCTGACCTATGCTATGTTCTCCGATGCCTCTACTGGAGGAGCACCGGCAACACCTCTGAAGCTCCAGGGAGCCCGGGCAG